CATGTTTCACGTTCTTTTCCATTTGAGTCTTCATAATTTCCGAGGGGATCCCTACATAGCCCCTATAAAATAATCTGTTGAAGGGCACAGCTAGTTCCAAGTCCTACACTTTTAGCCAAACTCTCTTTAGGTTCTTTGACTCCTATGGACATATATCTATATATATATAATATCCCCAGCTTCCATTTCATTTTCCATGTGATTCTCCCGTGTATTAGGTTGTGATTACCACTACCTTTTCGGGCTGCCCCTGCGCGGCAAAAAGAGATATTCTGTGTGGCAGCCGTGCTGTGGGCCTTTGCGCGTGCCAACAGGGAGCAGGGCTGCATCAACCGGTGTGGCTTGGTCAAGCGGGAACACAAAGAAACAACTAACCAAAAAGAACTAGGAAACTCTCAAAATTGAGAACGATATGAAAAGAAAATGGAAAATGTGATGAAATCTGGTAATATATAGGGCAGTATAGAGTTTAATATTTCCCGTAAAGACAATGGGCATGGGTTCCTAATAGGGAATATGATAGGGACAAGAGGCTGCTACGTCTACTTTTCTTGGTCCCTTGGCAAGCCTAATATTCACAGTAGCTCACGTAAGTTCGCAACATTGCGGTGGGCCCGGTACTGCAAGAAGTAGCTCCGTCTGTTCAGGGCCGATTTGAAGCTTGGTTCCATGTACGGTAGACAGCATCCAAATTGGAATTTGGGTGTTGCCAAAGATTAAGGGATACCATCTTGGGGTCACCATAATAAGGACTTCAGGATTTTGGGGTCCATGTTCTGGTCCCCACCTTATGGAAACTACCAACTAACCGTTTTAAACTCAGTGTGTGCCCAAGCCAATAAATGCTTCCCACCTCACGGCGCATTAAGTCCCGTCCCAACGTGCTCTGCACGACCGGCTTCCTCAGAGGGCGCACGGCCACCGAGGAAGGCCTCAGCTGCAACGGAATCCGAATGCAACCCTCTCTCAGCTAAAGTCTCTGGTATAGATTTCAAAACCCTGTTAAGAGTTTGATTCACATGTGTTAGATAGGGTGACATAGGGATCATGGTCCACAATCCTTAGAAGTCATTCGAAGTCCTTAGAAGTCATTCGAAGGAGTATCCCAGTTTTCTCAGGTCCCAGAAGCCTGAAGGATCCCAAAGCATTCCAAGGCAACTAAGGAGCGGGAAGCATGTCAATCTCCAAGCCGGAGTGCCTGCGAAGCTCCTCAGCTAAGTCTCCAGCCCCTGTTTGCTCATGGAGGCTCTTAGGCCGCCAGGCTCTTGACCAACTTCAGCTAGACAAACTCTGGGTTTTCGGTTTCGGGAGTCAATCTGTCTCATACAGAGCCATTGGACGTTGAGGGTTTCTGGCCTAGATCGTTTGGGGCCCTTGGATCTGTTGGCTTCTTTTTGCCCAAAATTACGGGGACCCTTTTGGGGGTACTCGTGTTGAGGATTATAGTATTTGGGAGTCTGTATGGGGTCCCCATATGTATGGAAACTACCACATGTATAAGGAATACACATTTCCTAAAGAGACGCCGAGAGCAGTGAACATAGGTGCTGAACAATGCCCTTTAGCGGATTGGAAGTCCTCGCCAAGGATGCGCACCTTTTTCCTGGAAGTCGTTGGGAAATTTAACAAGGATCCCTGCCCAGGCTTTCGAATGATCACTACGAGTAGAATATTGATTCCCACAATCTTACTGATGAAGCCCAGCTGCTGGACAAGCTCAGACATCCAGGGAGTCACAATGTTGTAGAGGCTCACAACGCTCCACGGTGCACGAACCACGGTCACAGATTGGGATACCTCTGGAAAATGCCTCTCAATGAGGTGGACAATGTGCCTTTGCTGCGGACAGAGCTGCAGAATCTCAGACTACCAGACTTGCTGGCTGCTGACGGGGGAAATCTTGTACCACTTTTATCTTTGATGGTTCCTGAAATGCCAATACCCTTCATCCAAGCACTGTCAAGATACCAGCTGTGAAACCATTTGTGCTCAACATAACTATTGTAATGGCAACAATACAATAAGAATGCTGGCAATAGTATTGACAACATCAGGCCAAAAGCCCAATCCTGAGTGTGTCCTGCAAGGAGGTTGGCTGAAAGTTCCCCAGAGACTGCATGAAGTGAGAATGATTTTGTTCTGGCTTTCTGGTCTCAAAACAACCTGTTTATGCAATCAAACAGCTCAAATCTTGACTTAAGTCCTCAACATGGTGTCAAACTGCATCTTGCTTCGCTTCTGGCTCAAAATGGCATGTTTGCACAGTCAACGCTCTGCTAATCTACGGCCATCAACGGACAGAAACTCAGCAAAATCAGAATTGTCTTGTCCCCAAGCTTCTTTCCCTACATTGTGAGTTACAGCAAAAAGGTCGTGATCAACACATTTGCTAGCGCACGCCAGGGCCATACAGGAGCCAATTTAGGCGCCACTTGCCGTGTTTGTTGCATATCACGTTGCTAAACGCAATGGTCATATTTGTGACCAACAGCTTGTGTGACGTTATCCAGGCCGAAGCTGAAAGTGCTCTTAAATGGTTCTCGAAAAACCTATAGCCTGCACCTTGTTCATATCTGGCAAATGGCATCGCGCGAAGGCAGTCAGAACAACTGACCAAAATCTTGCACCCCCACAACTTGTGTTTGTCACCATGTGGAAACGATGGGCCCTTCAAGCAACCCCTAAATGCCGAAAAGTGAGGTCTTTCACCCAAAGTATCGCAGACCGAGCAACCTAAGGATGTGGAGATGCTGGAGGTTCTTGATGCTAAAGCCGCTTGTGTCGATGATGACACGGGCCTGGATTAGGCGCCCTGCCTTCAGGGATGCCGCCCGGCCACTTTGCAGAGCATCTTCGAAATGAGCTACGAAGGCGCGGATCATCTCATCAACCAAGCCTGCAGACACAAACCAATGCAACGAACAAAGGCGCCTGACCTGCAGCTCAGGAGCCTTCACGCACGAACCCTACGTAATCTGCGGTGCCCGCTCGCCAGACAAGCACGGGCCCACCATCTGGAGCCGTAGCGCTAAGGCGCCCGAAAAAGATCTCAGTTCGGAAGCAGTCAGAAACTGGTCAAATGCTCAGGTTATGGAGTCGCAGCGGTTTTGGTTTTTAGGTCTATGATGGCATATTGGGAGAAAACTAGGAAAAAACAATTAAAGCTGCGAACCCGAATTTGCCAGACGGAAAAGGGTGGAGCGTTATAGGACTTTTCTTCTTTTGTTGCTTTGTTCTTCAAGTTCACCTACTTGTCTCTTCTTTCGCAACGTTTGTCCGAGAATTTGTGCTTTATTGTTTTGTCGTAACATGTCCTAACGTTTCCTAGCTGTTCCTAGTTTTCTTGGCTTTTGAACTCCAGGCTTGGAGGATTCCTGTTTTGTTCCCCTGTTGCCTGTATGCCAACATAAGAGTTCCTATTTGTTCGACATGTCCAATGTTTCCGCGTCATCGTACTAGACCAAATTGGTGAAAAGTGCACTGACACGAATCAAAGCCTGAGAATCATAAGGCGCTGCTCGCTTGGCCTCCTTCGTTTGTGGCTGATAAGCCCACGACCAAGAGCTGGCGTTGCCGAGCCTCGTGCCACTGCGGTGGTATTGCTCTCCAAACCTCGGAACGACAAGCAGCTAACCTTCCACGCTGTCAAAAAACAGGACTTCAGCACATTTCACCCAAAAGGACGATGCTGCGCTGGCGCAGTACAATTCAAGCGGCCCATACGACGCCATCACTGACTTCAGATCGAAATCCTCCCTCCAGGCCACCGTTTCGCTGTGCATCGCTGCAGCAGCCTCCACCTGGGCATCCGGTTTAGACGTGGGCCCATGGGAGAACAAATTGCCGGCGGCACAGCCCTTGGTGTACAGGCAAAGCTTATGTCGATGCCAAGTGCTACTGACGGCATGTCATATGAAAAGATCCACGCAACCTGATTCGCACGGGCCATGTAGAAGCGCAGCAGCATCAAGGGATCTGCCAGAGGTTCCAGACTGCCAGTCAAACCAAGCTCCTGTACTCAGTCTGCACACACTTACCTGGGATAGCTTTGGGGGCCCTTAAAAGCTAATGTGGCTTCATAGGAGAATAATGTATGTGTATATATGTGTACATAGGGATTATGGTCCATAACAATTAAAGCCTTTTAGGAATACCCGAAACACACATTCCTCATCCTCCAGCTGCAGTTCAGCCACAGCCTCTTAAACCAGGTCATGCCTCATGCAACTCTTGGCGATGTCGAAAGGTAAAAAGCTTCGAAGGTTGACTTTACACCCTGTCCCCCGTCCTTAGCCAGGTTTGCGATGTCTGGAGCTGCGTTGTGAGGCACGCCTGCTGCCTCCCACGAATATATGGTAGTTTCCATGAATCAGGGGACCCCAATAGACCCCAAAATGCTATGATTGGTTCTTATATAGGGACCCCCAAAAAGGTACCCTAATTTTGAGAAGCCCAAATCCCTACAAATCCCTACGTAAACCCAGTGTCCATGTTTTTCAATTTGATTCTCCATCATTTTAGGACAGCATTGGAGAGATCTGAACTTCAGGTGGGTAGTTACAAAAATTAGGGTCTTGTTTTGGTACCCGTCATCAAAGTGCCTACGCAAGTAGCCTGAAGGTCCCATCCCGGCTTGAAGCACTACTACTTGAGGGGCCAGGAGGACTTAGTAAGCAGGTTATAAATGGCGGTCTAAACCGGTCAAGCCCAGTTCTGGTACTTATAAGCCTATTTATAGCCTACTTGGACCCTTGTAGTAGAACGCAAAGATACTTTTGTAGTTTACGCCTCAGGGGGCTACAGATGAACCTTAAATTATACAGCACCTGGAAACGTCTAACCCTAAGCCCTATAAATCCTTATGTAAACTCATCTATCTTACAACCCTAAATGTCCGTACGTATCCTGTCGTAACCGTTTCTGACCTATATACGCTTGTATAGCCCAATAACACCTGTATTACAACCTACTTACTAAGTACCTGGCCCTCTATGTAGCCCAGAGAGCAATCTGGAGTCCTCCATCTCCACTGCAGGACCCTTGGAGTAACTCTGAAAGTCCTGCATTCAAGGCTGCCCAAGCCCTGAAGTATCAATGGGGTTCTAACCTTAATTGGGCACTTGTTTTTGACTTGCTTTACAGGGACTGTGCTGGGATTTAAGGTAAAAGAAATTTTGTAAGCGATTCAAACCAACCCCTGCAGTATGGACTAGCCAAGGCATTGCAGATTGCACTGCTTCCTTTCTTTGGCTTTGATGCCATCAATCCGCATTCAAACGCCACAGCATGAAGCAGAGGTCGACAACAATGCTGGCCCCGCGGTGCAGTTGTGGGGCCTAATTCTATGTATAGCGTGATGTTAAATTAGCTTGATTTTGGTGTTCAAACTTTCGTAGACACAGCCTGGACCATGGCTGTCATTCTAGCATCCTATGTCGTGAGTGCCAAAGCTGGAATGCTCTAAACTAAATCTTTACGATGCAAAGGCTCCTGCCACACCACCAGGACGAGAGGAGATGCAAAAGCTGCTGCGAGTCCTGCACAACCCAATGCTAGCAGGTTCCGGAACATCACAGTCTGTGTCTTAAGGCTTTTCAGCTTCAGGGACGGCACACAGCGCTTGTAACCACGTCTCTTCTTCTACACACACACACATTTCTTATTAGTATTCTTATCCTAATAACTAGTCTTAGTTATCATTACTTTGATTCTGCTTCTTATTCTTCTTTTTTTCTTCTGCTTCTTCTCATGCACACTCTATATACATATATATATATATACACACTTGCAAGTATCTATAATATATCCTCTTCATCTCACTTGCCGGGCCGGCCCTCTCTCTCTCTCCCTCTCTTGGGCCCGGGCCGAAAGGCAAACCGTTCCTCCGGGCATTTCTCCGTTGGAGCCATGCCATGGCGTGTAAAACAAAGACGCTTCAGGCTCTGATCCTAGGAACGGTGTTTACAATCTTTTGGGTTTTGGCGAGGTGCAATTCGGCTTTCGGCTCAAAGTGTATGTGAGCTACAGTCGAATCCCATACCTGGCGAATAGACATGGGCTTAGAGATGTCGTTTTTAAATTGGATCCCTACCGTTTTCTGCTCTTTCGCCTTTATTCAAGGAATGACCACTCGTTCAAACATCACGCTTCGCTGCAGCATGCCAATTGATCTTTTGTCTCCCGCAACGTTTTTTTTCCAAGCGCGTCAGCGTCAGTTGCTAGAGTCGTGTCCGCTCGAAATATGATCTAGTGGTTGGCAATGTGGCTGTTGCTCATGTGAAGGCTACGTCCGGGGCAAACAGCGGGCTTTCCGCTTGCCTTCGAGATGCCGCCGCCACGGACATAAGAAAGGAACAGCGCCAGAAGTGGATGCCACAGTGGTCAAAAACCGCAACCTCTTAAATAATCAGCCTGCATGGACCTTTCATGCTTGGTTGGGACTTGGGATCATGCTGGAGGCCGCTTGAGCTTAGCATGTTGCTTTGGACTCACAATCAATCACAGTCTCGTGGTTTCAGACAACTCAAACGTTTCCGCAAAAGTGCGCAGCTCTCTTAGACAGTAAGGACCCCTGACGCTTTCTCCAAGAAAGGATTGCCCACTTGAAGCCCGAAGGGGCATGCCTCAACTGGGATGGACTTGGGGGCCCAGTAGCAATTTACGTTCTATGGCCTTGCAGGGAATATGTATATAATTCTCAAGAACTTCGCCTCACCCCAACATATTCTAGAAGAATACTTTGCTGGGGCTTAGCAGTGAACAAGAGAACATAGGATATAGGGAGTCTGTGAGAGTTATATTCCTCATTCCCTACTAATCCTAAACCCCAAACCCTACCCTCAGCCCTATACTGTACGATATTACCTTACTCCCTACCAAGAACCAGAAGAAGACTCCAGTGCCAGGCCTCGATGGCTATCGTGCCCACTCCGCCCATGGGGTCCAGAAGGCTGCTGCCCTCCTTCATGTAGTAATACTGGAAAACAAAATGGAAACTACAGCGACATATTGAGGATACATATATATATATATGTATGAGTAAGAATGGAAAATGCAAACGACTACATTATAGTAGGGAAATAATATGAAATTTCTAGTCTGAAAGACATGCTGAAGCAGTGTTCCAATTCAAACATTAAGGCACGGACTCATCACGCCTGTAGAGTCTCAATGTATACCCTACTGTAATACAAGAGTTTCCGTTTTCTCTACCATTATTACTGTATATACTACTACTATAATATAGTAGTTTCCATTTTTCCATTCTTACATATTATTAGTAGAATTTTGTATGTATATATATATATGTGTGTGTGTGTGTGTACAAAGATGTCTGATCTTATTGGCCCTTCATGGCCTCCACCTTGACCGCCCGCAATAGCAGGAAGCATGTGGAGGGCCGCAACCTGGGCGAGAAAACCGTCGTTTAGGCTATAAGGCTTGGGGCTTCGGGTTTTTGGGGGGTTTAGGGTGCCTGGAGAGATGCTACCAACCCCAGCCCCCGTTGCATGTTCCAAGTCCTTGTCCATTTGATATTCCAGTGTGAGAGGTAATATCCCTACATAGCCCCTATACAACCCCGCTATGTACCCTATCATAATTTTGCAATGTTCCATTTTCTTTGCCATGAACCCCAAGTCAGATTCGAAGTCTTCAGCTCGCTGCCGCATCCGGCCATAGTTCACGTGCACGTCCGCCCGCAAATATGCCCGGACCTGAAGCAGAGATGAAGGTTGCACGTTCAGTTACAAAAGCTCGGATAGACTTAGTGGCACTATAACCATTAACTGCTTATGGCGTGGAAGGGAATATGTATAGGGATTGTGGTCATAATCAAAAGCTTGTCCAGGGAGTATTTTAGAAAAGGCTTTGGGGACCTCTATGCCAAGGCCTCTCGCGGTAGCACGAAGAAACGCTCTGGCCTGTCGCTCAGCCTTCAGCGTTGGATTGAAATTTTTGCTGCACAAGCATGAGTAATTTGCTATGCAGGGGGCTATATGGGGGTTGTATGAAGGAGTCATAATATAGGGGAATGGCAAACAAAATGGAAACGGTGTTTAGGGGGGAAATATGCGCAATATAACCCCAATACCCAACAATGCTGTATCAAATGGAGAAGAGAAGCAAAAGTTAATTGGAAACTGGGCTTCAAAGGGGCTGTGGGGATTATCCAACGATCCTAAACGAAGGCTTTGGTGTCAACCACATTACAACGTCACCATCAACTCTAGACCATCCTTGGCGCCGCGCCCGCAGGCAGCACCTCGCCACTCTGGGAAGAGCCTTCAGGGCTGTGACAGGAAGCCAAAGCAATCCTAGTGGATGTTTTGTTTTGGATTGAGGTTTCGTAGCCAAAGCCGACTCTTAATGCATCCTTTGCCAAGCTTACACGAAGTTCCGTCTTCAATTCGAAGTCTTGAGTCATTTGCTTTACAAAGCCTTTGGCCAGAGATGATGGCCGCTGTTTTTTAGTTTACAGTGATGGTGCCCTGCGTCAGGGATTGCTGAGGAAAGGGGTTGGACTTGACATGCAAAGGCTAATGGAACCACAGCCTGAAGAAATATCGCACATTGAATGTTTGCTACGGACAGAGACATACATACCCCAAACTTAACAGAAACCAGGGCTTCAGGCATCTCAGGCAACTGCGGAAGCCCCACCACAGCGATGCCACCACAGACAACAGCAAAAACCTCGAAGGTTTTCAGGATCGGGTCGCATCCGCTTATTACTGCCTGCGTTGTGCTTGGAGCACAGAGTCCCCCTGAGGGGCAGGCTTCCGTCTCATACCGCGTCAGGCTGACCTGCAGTTGCATACTCAAGAGATTTCCTTGCCAGAAGCCGAGTCGGCCTTCCAAGAAGAAGTCTAGCACACCCTAAGCTGTCCTCTCGACAGTAGACTGACATGGACGTGCACATGGCACAGTTTCATTCCAAACCAGCACAACTACTAGCCGAAACAAGATTCGGGCTTCTTTTCCTGATAAACGAACCCCCCCCCCGCCTTTCTTGGCTCTCTTGTCTGAGTCCCATGACACGAGCAGGTAAATAAAATCCATTGCCTCAAGCTGTAAGCCATTCGTCAAAGATAGGCATGTCATTGCCCTGATAATGGAGAATCAGATGCAGAAGAAAATCGAAAGTGCAATGGAGGCCACAGTTTACGGTTTAGGGCTTAGTCATACAGAGCTCTTGCCCGATCCAAGCACCTGCAGTCCTCAGCCAGGCACCTATTGCACCTACTCAGCCTTCAGAAGCCCTCCGCGTCGCACCTCCCATCCCATTCTGCGCTTCGCGGCGCCCCCCAGCTTGCCCATCACCTTCAGAAAAGCACCACGTCTGGCACTTCTTCCAGCATGAGACCAGGAATGGCAATCGGACAAGGCTTTGACGTTCCAACGGCGGCACAGAAAATGACGAGCGCCCCCCAAGCAAACACTATTTGAAAAATTTCGAGACAGACTCTGAAAGGGGCCTTGCAACTGTTCGATGCGTGTGTGGTGTGTGTGTGTGTGTG